AGGCTGCCCGGGGGTCCCAGCACCGCAGGTCAGCAGCAACGTGCCCAGAGGGTCCCCGCCGGTGCTCCCGGGCTGATCATCCCGAAAGGCAGCGCTGGAGGGAGGCTCTGGGGAAAGAAACCCGGAGGTGTTAGGGAGGCAGTTTCCCCTTGGGGTCCCTGCGGGGGCTCAGTGCACGGGATGCAGCCGGGGCTGGGTGCTGGGGCTGCCTGGGGCACCGGCTCCAGAGGGGAGGATGATGGATGAGGAGCCCTCTTCTCTGCCCAGGAGCCCAACATCATCCCACGCTGTGGGAAACCCCCACCCCTCCCAACAGCGTCTTCCACAAATATCCAAATGGAAGGTAAGGGCGGGGAGAGCCAGGCTCCCACTGCCCCAGGGCGACCGTCTCCCCTCCAGCTCTTCCCCTCATTTCTCTCCTCCATTGCTGCCTTATTAGGTCCGAAATGTGGCTGATAAGGCAGCGGGGCAAAGCTGGGAATAGATGCTTAACAGCCCTATCTTGCAGCACATCAGTTTATCCTCTCGATCTAAATGCTCTGAACTGACTCTCCCTCCAGAGAGGGAGCCAAGAGCCCCCAGCCCGCCCGGTGTCCCCAGCCAGCCTGGCGGTGGTGGCAGGTCACGGTTGGCTTGTTTGATTTTGACCAACTACAGCCTACAGGCTTGCAGGTGACAGGAGCTGAACGCAACGGCCCGCACGCCTGGCCCAAAGAGCAGAGCCTGTCCTCCCTCCCCAGGCAGGGGACAAGTCCCCTCCACACCCAGCAGCCGCTCTGTCCCGTCTCCAGTGACCTCCGGGCAGCTCTGTCCTGCCTCACCGGCACAGCTCTTGGGAAAGCAGCTCAGCGACAAGAGAAGCTGCTGCCAACTCCTCATAACCACGAGCGATGTTTGCTGGCCCCAAACGCCGTCCCTGGGCACCTCTGAGTGGGGGCAGAGGGGCAGGCAAGGCGACGGGTGAGAAATGGAGGGGAAACACAAACCAGGTTGGGAAGCACCCCGAGAGCCACCCCGGCCCCGGCACGCTGCCAGCGCCAAAGGAGAGCCTTGCAGCTACTGATGTGCAGCATTTAAAGCAGCTGAGCGGGGCTGTCCCGGGTCAGGGCTCCACACCAAGCAGATGCTCAGGCCGGGCACATGAGGAGGGGTCACAGCCCGCCCCGGAGCACCGAAAGCGGAGCGAAGGATACAGGCTCTCACCCGGCTGACCTGCGCTAGCGCTGCGCCCAGACCGCACCTCCTGGAGATGTCAAGTGCGGCGCAGCCCCGGGCAGGGCAGGGGGGCGCAGGCTGGCAGGAGCTGCGGCGCAAACAGCTCTCCATCTGGGAGGAGCGAAACACGGATGATCCAGGTAAGGGGGAGGGAGGATGATGCCGTGGGAGCTCAGCAGTAAGAGCATTGACTTGAAGGCGTAGGATGGGTTTATTAGCCAGAGAAGCCATCCAAACCCTTCCCAGCCCTCCCTGCCAAGGTCCTGCAGCCTGTTAATGAGTGTGCGCTTCCCTATGGATTGCAATGGTGATGAGCTTCAGCTGGTGGGGCTTTGGCTGGGACCTGACCCTGCAGCTGTGGGCCTCGTGCAGGGCTGGGGACATGGGCCTCGGGCAGTTTAACGCCCCGGGGAGGGACACCCGCACAGCCGACCTCCCTCCATCCTATTTCCTTGTAGCACGTTGCCTGCGTGCCCCATCCCGGGATCGGCAATCCACGTGGCACGTCACAGCCTCCTGGGAATTTAAAGATAACTTTCTTCCATCCCCACTGGCTGGCATCCCTCCAGACACGCCAGCATCCCCAGCCCAGGCCTTGGCTCCCAGGGCGCAGCCGCGGAGCCGGTCCCAGGGGTGTTCCCCGAGGCCGGCGCAATCCCCCCACGCTCCTCCGCGGTGCCGGAGCGTGCCCGGGAAGGCAGGCAGAGCCCTGGCATGATCTGTATTTTGGGTGGCTCTCACC